TTTAATACCTACCATGTGCCTAGCATTATTCTAAGTATTTTACAACTATTAGCTGAATCTACTTACTACCCTGAGAGACAGATGCTACTATTGTCCTCTTTCACAAATCAGGAACCCAAGAACAAAGAGGTTAAACAACTTGCTGAAGAAACACTGCATTAAATAATGGCACGAGGCATCAAAATCAAGACTGGTTCCAAAGCCTACACCTGTGTCTAATACTTTCTCCTATGTAAATGTCTGCTCAAGGACTTAGAAGACACAACAAGTAGAATTTCAGAACTCACTTATTGTAAGTGTCCTATGCACACCTACGATAAACAGTAACTATTCCACTTTTAAAGCTACTCTTGGGATATCAAAATGGCCCTGTGAATACACATTTGTATCTATCTATATATTATCTTGCTTTTTTTGAATACTTACAAAGACAATGAAAAAAAATCAGGGACTCATGGAATAATTATGATATTAGGAAAGGCAAGAATACTGATAGGTTTCATGTGAATTCAGGTCTTTCTACCTCTTGTCTAGGAATCTAAGCAGAAGCCAACAGCTGCTGGTTGAAGTCACTAAACCCACATACACATATGAAGGAGAAACAGGTCATCTTCATTGTGGCTTCCATCAAAATGGAGCTCAAGCCTGATGAGACCTCAGGGCAAGGAAAGAGTCTGGGAGATGCAAAGTCAAGCTAACAAAAGAAACTTAAGTGGAACAGGCTGAACATCTGGTCATCAATATTGGGGACTAGAGTGCATAACTCTCAGAGATGTGAATGAGGAAATCTGAGTGGACTGAAAAATGCATAAAGATAAATGTTGGGGGATTTTTCACTCCAGATGCCAGAAAGGTGCGCTGGTATAGGAGTACCAGACAGGCAAGGCATCATCTACTCCGCAGGGGAGAAGTGACTCCATCTGATGGCTGCAGGTGAAAGGAAAATCTGAACACAATAGCTCAGGCCTTTCTCTTGTGCAAGGAAACTTGCCTTTCTTCTTTGCAACTCCACATCTGGAAGTTAAAAGGTCTGACTCTGTCCACAGGTAGGAGCAGATGGTGTGTGTCCTATCCATTGCTGATAGAGTCTAGGACCAAGTCTGTGTCATTCTGGGATTCAATACTGGTAAACTCACTGGCATGGAGTTAAAACCACACTCTTCAATGCAGGCCCATACCACTTACCTGTAATTCCAAAATCCCTAAAGCTTTGAGAGGTTTTTGACAGCAAAACCTGAAGCCACTGAAGTAAGTAACTGGTTACCAAACCTGACCTTAGCTGACATGAAGTCACTTACAAGCTTTATCCACTTAGAGGTTTGCTGACTGATAGATGGCTACTAGTTGTTCTATGCATATTCAAGTTTAAACTAATTAAAATTAAGATTCAATATTCAGATTCTTAGTCATATCAGTCAATATACAATAGCCATGTGACTAATGCCACCTAATCAATAAAAGCATTTCCAGAATTATGAGATGTTCTGTACAACACTGATCACAGGGAAGTCATGATTCCCTACAGACACATTTGACATAGGATACTAACCCAGCCCCTACATTTTAAACATTATATGAGAATTTTCCTTGAGAGAGGGGGGGTTCCAAAATCATATTTGACCTAGAGCTTCACAGATAAGGGATTATGGACCAGTACCAGTGTTTATCAGGCAAAAAGCAATATTTTAGCTTTTCTTCCGTGTTAACAGTTTACTCAAAATTAGCCTAGAATAGAGGTAGGGAAGTGGGGGAGGGCCCTCAGAACTCCAGCAACAGGAAGGGTTCTTCTCCATTTGCATCCACAATTTAGTTTTTATCTATGAAAGAGTTTATGTATTTTAATATCATTTAATATCACGAAGGAGGTTTAAGTGCTATCCTGGCAGCAAGTGGCTAAATGACTAGATAACCTCCAAGGATTAATAAAAGTACCACAGATGGGATTCCCATGTTGGATGGGAAGTTGGACTCGATGAAGTCCAATGCCCACCCATTTAAGCAAATCTGAGAAAATACTATTGCCTCCCACACAGGTCTGACTTTAGCATCTTCCATGTGGTGAGTACTGGTCAGATGCCAATATATTTTTGGACAGGAATATGTCCATTAGAGTTTAGCACATTCTGAAAATTCCTTAAATGCCTCTATGGGTACCTCTCAGTGGGAGCACATGTGGTCAGGAAGTCATGTTCCTTTCCAGCTATTCATACTCTTGCAGCCTGACAGCCAGAAGATGTTGGGCAGCACTGATCCACCACATCTGGCTTGTTCTCTTATCCATGTGGGTGTAAGATATTTACAGGGTCTGACCAAAGAGCACCAAGACAGGTGTTTTTGAGGGTTCTACAGGTTTTATCCTATTTTACCCTGCTATATCAATTCAGGAAAGCAGCTTAACTTGATACAGCCTTAGTTTTGTCATCTGTAGGACAGAGAAAACACCTCTAAGTTCACCACACTCAGAGGGCTGTTTGAGGATAGAAATCAAAATTAAAATATTGAATGAGCTGTTATACCGGAAATTAATTTTTTCATTCCGAGGACATGTATCACCTTCACTGTAGATGGGGAAATTCTATATGAGCCTTGTAAAGCAATATCTATTGAAAGCAATAATCTAAGGAAGAGTCTTGCTTGATTCTGAAAGTATTGCTGTGGCTTCAACACAAAGTAGCTTTTATTTAGAACATAAATTGGATTTCTGCCTGTATTGGGAAGCATGAGATAATGCCCTTTGTCTTAATTTGACAGTGGAGAGGCTCTTCAGTATTGGCCAAGGATCTAATATTGGATCGTACCAATATACAACCATTTGCTTGCTTGCTAAATTGCTTCCATAAAGATCCTACAGCAAGTGCTGCCTCTGATGGAGCGTTTACAAAGATTTTAAGGCTTTATGTTCACAATATTAAAAATGCCCATCTCTGTCTTTTTACTTCAATATGCCCCTGGCTCGATTATGTGGATAAAATGTGAGGCCATTCACCTATTCAAACTTCCCAGGTAAGCTTCACATTTCTGGTCTTTTCCGATCAGTACTGAAGCTGTCCAGAAAAAAACAGTAATCAAAAGGCATTGGCACCTCCCTCCTGTTTGCTTTCCTAGAATTGATATATGCTAAAGCTTTAATTTTAAGAAACTAGGAATTAGAAGACTGGTAAGGAAAATAAGCTTAATACTGAATTTTTAAAGTTAATGTAACAATACAAATCCATTATCATTTTAATCATAGAAATTGCATATTTTAAGCAAAAAAACAACAACTACTGGTATTCACAGAATTTTCACTATTTTAGAAGCAGTTTAAGAGAAAGATGCAACAATTTGGCTGGCTTCACATTAGCAGATTTAATCACTCCACAAAAACATTTTTTTTTAAGCTCAGGAAAATTGAAAATTTAAGAACAAATGTTTTCTAACATAATTCTCTCAAACACTTTTAAAATATTGCTAAAAATGTTTTTTAAAACTCTGAAAACAACTTGCAGGTTTTCTTAAATCAGCCTGTATGTCTTCATGGGTATTTAATCCAGATGTAGGTAAAAACCCTGGAAGACCTATTTGACATAGAATGATTCCTTAAGTGTACCGAAAACCCTAAGTTCTGTGAGAGGAAGTTGTAAACTCAATGAAAGGACATCACAGCCTCCCTTAAAAGTATACAGTCTATTATGAGTGTTACCAATGCGATTCTTTCCCATTCCTTTATTATGAGTTTACTTGAAACTTCCAATAGTGCTTTTTTTTTGGGGGGGGGGCGCTATTATTTTCCAGAAAGTTACTTTTCTTGGTCCTCTTTGGATGCTTTTCACAAACAACAGAGACTTGAGCTTTCGAATGAGGATCCCATCCAACAGTAGTTTGAATGCAAACTTTCTTTTTTTTAACTTTATAAGACTCAAGGCTTCTGAAGAGTATGAAAAGGCTACCTCCCCCCGTTTTTGCGGTGGTGAGGATTGACTCCAGGTGCGCTTTACCACTGAGCTACATCCCCAGACCTTTTTGAGACAGGGTTTCCTGCTTCAGCCTCCTGAGACACTTGTGATTACAGTAATCAATCACCGTACCTGGCTTCAAAAAAGGTTAAATTCTTGAAATCTCTCATACTCGAGTCCAGATAACTCTTTTTATAATCAAACTTTTTTTCCTCCTAAAAAAAGAACAATTCCTTCAGTTTTGTCCAGCCCCAGTCAAATGCGTCCTTCCCGCCCGCCCCACCACTGCAACCAAAATTAACATTCAACACTGAGAACTGAAAGGTAGTGAGTGATGAGCAGGGATCTGACCACCCGGCAATAAACCGCTGATTGAGAACGCAATAAATCAACAAGTTTTCACTGAGCGTCTACCAGGTCCTTGATCAGGAACGTGACTGAGTAGGCCGGGGTCCACCTGAGAACACCAAGCCCAGGCACTCAAGAGAGGAGATGAGCTTATCCCGAGAATTCCACGGTGAAACCGGCGCTGGGCTGAGAGCCAGCCGCCCTGGGACCCCAGAACTCTAGTCCCCTCCTCCAAGGCCCTTCCTTTCGCAAGGGTCTACTGGGCTCCTCAAGGTATAGCAAGAGTTGAGCTTCCAGGAACCTCAACCCCACCTCTCCTCGGCCAGGACAAGTGGCAAAGCCCCCATTCAGGAACCCCGCGGAGCGGAGAAGGAGAACAGCTACTATTTGCGTTTGCGATAACCTCGGAGAAGAAACCGCTAAAAGAAAGGGGTAAGGGGTGGTGTTGAAGGCACCCCCTAATGTCTCAGATGCTTCTTAGCTCGACCCGGGGAAAAGTAAAGGTGTTCTAAGAGAAGTCTACAGGGGTGCTGATGAGTGAAAGGAGAAAAAAAAATTCGAATTAAATTCCCACGCGCTCAGGGCTGCCACAGCTTTGGCTGGAGGAAGGGAGCTCAGGGGACGCTCAGTGCACCAGGCTGTGCAACCGCACACTCTTTGGTTACCGCCTGTGGACCCGCAGACAGACAGAGCTACAAACCCCAACTAGAGTCTTACCTTCAGGGTTGGCGCTGATGAAAACCCGGACGCTTCGGCCCGCGGGCACTAGGTGAGAAGGCAGGGCCGTGAGGTTTCCGGAGAAAGCCGCCCGCCGGAGTGCAGAGTCGCGGGCACAGGGCAGCTTGGTGCCCGCGCCGGCCGGCCACATCGCCCTCCGGGAGGAACGGCCGCCACCACCTCCTGCTCCTCGGGTTCCTGCCCGCGGCTCCGGGAAGCGGCTTTGTCGATGTCCGCAGGCGGCGAGGCTCAGAGCGGCTCTGAGCCCCAGGCGCTGTGGGCGAGCTCCGTGGCACACACCACCCGCCCGCAGGGAGCGGCCATATAGACCCTAGGGCCCCAGTCGTCGCCGCCTTCAGCCCCTCCGGGAGACTGCCTTCTCTCGCTGCCAGGACTCAGCTTAGCAGCCGGCGGGAGCTGGAGGTCAGCGTGGCGGCGGCTACGCGCACAGCGCCCGTGTGCGCTGGGGAGAGCCAGCGGCCATCTCCCCACCCGCGCCCTCCGTGGGAGGAGGGGGCCGCCAGGCGGCGAGGATTGGGCGGGCGAAGAGAACAGATCAAACTTTAGGGAAAGGTGTCCCGAGTTGGTCGGAACCCGCCTTTTGCGCAGCGCAGAAATAACTACAGTTTAAAAGGTGGCCGGGTCTTGGACGCGCTGTCTCGGGGCTCCCCAGAGGCCTCCTGAGCTCTTGCGAGGACAAACGCTAGTACTGGAGGCTGCCTCCTTGCTGGAGGGCAAGAAATCAATCAGCCAGAGAGTCCTGTTATTCCCCCTCCAACTATCCTAAAGGTCAAACGAACCCTGGGTATGTTCGGGAATCTACGCGTGCGGGCATCTGTGCGCCTTTGCAGGAATACAAGGAGCCCAGCATCAAAGTTCGATGCACGCACCCGAGACCAGACCGCGAGGGTCCGTAGCACCAAATCTCTAGACCTTTGGACGTCCTGGAGAGGATCGCCTTCCCCTTGACTTGCTGGCTCAGGTGGACGCGTTTTGCCGCGGCTCGCGCTCCCCACGCTCCTCTAAGCGGGGGATTTTATAGCCAAGCTGCGATGCTCACGTGCTCCTCGCCGCGTGGTCGCGGACCCCTTCTGGGCGCGGATCTCCACGGGGACCTTTCCCGAGACCTCAGTTGCTCCCAGGGATTCTTCCTGCTCCCACCGCGGCACTTTCTCAGGCCGTTCCGCTCGCCTACCAGCTTTAAGGCCGGTCAGCAGCAAGGATGCTGGAAGCCCCGTCCAGTGCGCGCTTGGGCCTGGGTGGCGGCTGCGGATTCCCGGGAGCGACAGGCTCCCGCCGCCCGGCACTGGAGCACGTAAAAGTGCAGGTGGTGGCAGACTGGGCAAGTGTGTGAGAAATCAGAGTTGGCCTGAAGCCGTGGTTTCCTGTATAAGCTTCAGCTGCTTTCCCAGATCTGAACAACTGGTAGGTCCGCCGCACCTGATTCTGATCCCGAGACACCGGACTGCCCTTTGGTCTGGGCTGGAGGTGGACAGCGCGGGGTCTGGAACACGTCCCAAGTGACATGAGATATACAGAGACCCAGATACAAAAGTGGTCCCTGGACAATGTGCCCACTGATATCATGCATGAACTAGAAGAGGGAGGAAAGCCTTGTATAATAAAAATGGGATTGTGATGTGGTGGGAGGGAAAAGGAAGTGTTTGGAGCCTTAACAATTGGAGTCTGGCCTCGAAATCCTTCATACTGAGCCTTGGGCAGAAACACTTGTCTTCTATAAAGAAAGAGCTGCTTTTCTTAAATCTTCAAGACTGGGGACAGGGTGGGTGGGTAGAGGGGGACAACAACTCAGCTGCACGTTTTAGCTTCTCACCAGAGGGCTCCTGTTTTAGGCAGGCCCTGGCATCTTACAGGCCTGCACTTCCTCTGGGCCCTGCTGGTGGCAGTGAAGTCCTATGTACTGCTGCTTATTTTGTTAGCCCACCCCACACCCAACACACGTTCTGGGGTAACCTCTTTGGAAGAACTGGGTCTCTAGGTTTTTAAGGCTGCCTTTCTACGCCTGAGAACCTGGGGACAGACAGTCGTTCTTACTTTGTGATAATTTGATGCAACTAATGAAGAAATCCTGAACATAGCTACTTATTCAATCAATTCATTTTAGCAAATTATCTTCTTCCCTATTCCAAACTCATTATTCCCAGGTGGGTCTGTTTTCCAGCAGGAATGGTATCTAGAGATCTCATGATGTCCCCTAGGTATGGACTGAGAGCTCTGGAATGAGTTATGAATATATAGTGTCTATTACAGTATCAGCTTTTATGAAGACACAGTATCTATTACAGAGGAAAGGAGCTAGGACCAAATTATGCCTGATCTGAACAGTGTTTATAAAAGATTGATAAGAAGTTGCCAGATTGTATAGGACCTGCCTGAATTCTTTTCTCTATCCCCACACTTACTTCTCCCTTCTAAAATTGGGATTAATATTTCTGTCTTCTGACCTTTGTTTCAGATCTCAAAGTGTTGCATTTTCTTCAGATGACTTTGGGATTTTTGGCAGCCTTTATAACCTAATTAACTGTTCTAGACAGGAGGAAGTTTAGCATCTGCCAGTGTCACTGCAGACCAAGGCTGCAGAGGAGGGAGGATTTCACATTGTATTGTCTCTGGGGCTGTACTTTGAAAGACTGTCTGTGCAGGCAGACTTAGAAGGTAGAGCAGGCTGTTGTCTTTGGGGTATCAGGGAAGTTTCCAGCTAAAGATGCCTGATCGCCCACCTCTCCCTCACACACAATCTACCCCCGTATTCTTTCACTGTGTCTCTTGTTAGGCTCTGATATCTTAAAGCTAGAGAGATTCATTTCTTTGCATGAAAATATCATAAGGGAAGGGATCTACCATGGTAGTAAGGCTTTATTATGATTTCCCAAGTTGAAGAATCAATTAATTGATGGTTCACTGGATAGAAAGGAGAGAGGGAAGCATAACTATAGAAGGCTGGCCCTGATTGTGTTGCCTACTTCATTTTTGTAGGCTAAAATGTTACACAAACAACTTCTCCTTTTCAGCAAATATTGGAAGTGCTATTATGTTTTGTGCATGAGAAAACCAAGGCTCAAAACAGTGCAAGGTCACATAACTAATTAACGGTAGAGCTAGGATCCAGGTATTAATGGCCCTGCCCTAGTGCTCTTTGCAATATAATAGCTCACTTTTCTAGTTTTGCCTGTGTCTGGCTCTGGCTGACATCTCCAGGAAACTTGACAATGGCTGCTCCGGCCTGTGTCTAGAGAGATGAAAGGCTGGTCATTACTTCTGCTTTCTAGATATAAGAGGACAATGTCCACAGATTCACATAGGACTAGACTCTTCCAAAGTCCTCATTTTCCTCTGTCCCTGTTTATTTATTTTTTTCTTTTCCTTCTGAGACCAAAGGGACATCCATGCCATCCTAGAAGTAAGCTGGAGGATTGAAAGCACCTAGAAATGGGAAGACAGAAGTACATGAACAATGGGCCTGGGACCATGCTCGTGCCATGAGCAGCATTGCCCTCTCCATTCTCTCACCCATCCCCAGTTGGCAGATAACATAGGTGGAGGGAGCGTGCCCTGAGTGCCAGACACTATATTTAGCTTTCATTGGTATCTCATTCATTTCCACTGCATCCAGGGTCTGGGTCCAGCATCTCCCACTTCCCAATCTGATGTCCCTTCTTGGGTACTGCTATCCCTTGTATGCCTTCTGTATGCATATAAGTTATCTTTTGTGACAGATGTGCACTTTTTGTTCCAGTCTGTAGTGTGCAAATAGACCTCACCTACTTCTCCTGTGACTACTGGTGATTTTTCTTCCAGCTACGAGCTGTGTCCTGTCCAATTCCTCATACTTATGTGTTGGGGATGGTGATCAAAAACCACACAACCAGGGCTTCTGTGACTGACTCTGACCCAGCAGAAGGAAGACCCATCACCCAGTCTGTGTTTGCCTGCATGCATACTCACATTTGTGTCCATCAAACATCTTGGCATGGAAAATTATGGATCACTGTTTTGTGTTTGTGCTATTGTGGGTGGGGCGATTTTAAGTAGAGTCCCTAGCATTATGAAGACAGCAATATTAACACTATCCCACTCTATCTATCTCAGGGAATGGAGCCAATGAAGCCAGTGATGTGGTGTTTATGTTTCCCAAACTTGAGGAGGAATATCAGACATAATATTACATTCATGCTCCTAGTGGCTCTCTGATTTGGGTGACAAATATTTGAATCAGCTTTGCTAATGTGAGAAATAAATGATACATGGTCACTCAAGCCAAGAATTCACTTCTCAAAGTTCCAGCTTGGGGTATGAGCTAGACCATCAAGAACCCACTTACTTGTTTACAAAATGGAAATTTTCAGTCTATGTGAGAAATTTGTCAGCATAACAATTTGCCAACAGGGATTGTTGATTCAGAGGTGTCTGCAGCATGATGGAATTCACAGCAGCTCGGTTTTAAATAAAGTTACACCTTTCTGGAAGTGCTATCTGATGTTTTCATGACTCAGAAATTCTAACTTTATATCCACCCCCTTCCAAAATCTGTTAATGTATTTTTTGATCAGTCTCCCTCTTACAACTTTCTAAACATGTTGCAATGAGAGCACTATGCATACCACACAAAGTAGAAGAAAGTAAAAAGTTTTAAAACAAAAATTTATGGAATATTTCCTATTTCTAAATTAAATATTATATTTTCAGTTTACAGTTGCCAAGATTTTTCCCCCTTCCTGACAGTCTGAAACATGTACTTTAAAAATCACTTTTCTCTCATATTCCATCATCTGATACTTAGTTGGAAAATTGCTTTTTACAAAGCACTTTTATACATGTTAGCTTGTTTTGACTCTAACCCTGTGAGGTAGGTTCTCCATTAACTATCTTCCCATTTTTATATGGAAACTCAGCTCAATAAATTTTAGTGACAAGTACAAGTTCATTGAAAAGCTGGATGAACACCCAAATTAGTTAATATCAAAAGCAGATGTCTGAACATTAAGCCATATGTCAATTATAATATACCACATGGCCACCAGTGTAGAGCAAGATATATTTGACCACATTGATAAAATCATTTTTTATCTCTCTATAACATTTATACTGGTGGTTAGGCAAACCAAGTAATATATGGTATAAAACATTCTACTTGGATGGCAATGTTAGCTACATCCTCTATTTATATGGGCTTCTATATTTTTGTTGAACAGAACCTAGATTCCACAGCTTTTAATGCCATTAACCATTTAGTTCTATAGATAAGTGTGTTTGTCAGCTTTCCATTATTGTAACAAATACCTGAGACAATCAATTTATAAAGAGAAAAGTTTACTGTGGCCCCCAAATTTTGGAGCTTTCAGTTCATGATCACTGGGCCCTAATCATGGTGGTAAGGCAGCAATCATAGTGGGTAGCAGTAACAGATGGTGGAACAAAGGCATTCCCCTGTGGCCAGGAAACAAGAGGGAAAGAGAAAACCTTCAAGGGTATGCCTCCAATGAATTAAAACCCCCATTAGGGCTCAACTTTTAAAATTTCCACCATCTCCCAATAGATCCAGGCTGGGGACCAACCCTTTAGCACATGGACCACTGTGGACATTCAAGATTTATACTACAGCAGTTGGGTACAAAGTTTGAGAACCACTGTCTCTATTCATGGAGATCCCAAACCAATTAAGATCCAAGGCCACTACACATAGGTCTTTAGGGGACACTCAAGATTCAAATTATAGTAATAAGTGCAAGAGATTCAGAGAAGTTAAATGACATGTCTGAATTCAGATAGCTGGTAAATGGCATAACTAGAATCTGAATCAGATTTCTTTCCCCATTATACAAGGTAGAGTCTTCACCATGCAATACCACATCTACAGACATGAGTAAGATATGTTTCCTTTACAGAAGTTCATATTGACATGCCCCAAGCATCTTAAATATGTTACCCAAGTCCATTGTTGTATATTTGTTTTCTCTTTGTCTAGATGCTTGTATGTACTTTATAATAGTATTAAGCTTGAAAGTATGCTGAATTTACTTTTAATTCCAAAGGATTTTAATGGGACAAAGTGTTTTTCTTGGATACAAAATAAAATATATTTTCCTCTACTAAATGAATATAGTTTATAATTCCATAAGTCTCTTTAAATGTAATCCTATAATTTCTATTTTCTGAAAAATTTCAATAATTTTCCCATTTTCCGTTGTCTCCTCACTGTTATAGTTCTGTTTTATATTTTTCCTTTAATAGGATTTCTTCCTTTACAAAATAATGACCCCCCCCCATCACAGTTAGCTTGAATTAGCTACAGAGTTGTACTATGATCTTCCTGAATCACCCTTCAAAAATGTAAATTATCTGTTAGCCTAAATTTAGAAAGCCATGTGCAGAAGTTGACGGGTAATTTACATTCAGTTCAAAGAAGAGAATAGGGAGCCAATTATGATTGATTTGAAGTGTTGAGAAACACTTTTAAATCAAATAATTCAAAAACAGTTTTTACATTCTCAACTCCTGTCATTTCTTAGTATGGGAAGATCATTTTGCTGTCATTTGGAGCAAACTTAAAATTGGAAGACTTCTTTCCCCCGCAAATAAATATAGTGTAGTTTTTAAATTATAAAACTGTTATATTAATGTGATTTTTAATAAATATGTATAATATATGCTTTTATTATAAAATATAATTGTGTATAACATTTTTAAAACATGAAATA